CACGCAATTGGTCAAAATCAATCACGTGGTTTCTGGTTACCTGGCGACAGATCGTAGGAATCATGATATTATTGCACGGCACTTTTTTTAGGTTTCCATAATTGAAGGAAGTTTCCTTCAAAACAACAACCACAAAGGAGAGGAGGGTCAATATATAAGGGGTATAATTTTTATTATAGATTGTTTTCAAAAGTGTTTTTTCTCTCTCTTTAGTCATTATTATCCCCCCATGAAGACAGTCATATGCAAATGAGTTGTTGAAAGCTTGATTATCCGTTTTATGCATGCTGGATTTTGATGTACAAATAAAACGATGCTAATAATCAATTACAACTCCCGAAACAACAATTTTTTCAATCACTTTCACAAGCAGTTTCTGTGATATAACCGCTCTTGTTGTTCTATTCGTATTTTTGGTGTTGAACAAAAGGTTGAGGACTATCCAGAAAAATATTAATAACAGCCTGCAACAACCATGCATTTCCCTAAATTATAAGGGTTGGTATTTCTTAATGCGGAGACTGTTGTTTCCAATTCTGAAAAGCTATAGGTTTGGTATATATATATATTTATATATTATATATATATTATATATATATATATATATATATATATATATATATATATATATATATATATATATATATATATATATATATATATATATATATAGAGTGATTTGTAGCAGATTTAATAGATAGACGTTTTCAATGCGCGTAACGTTGATTTGTGAGACATGTTCCGTTTGCCTGTGGCATAACAGTCAACAATTACTGACCAAATTTCATTTAAAAATATGGTTATATTATTAGATAAAATTAGGTTCAAAAGGTTCTCGCAGGCGTCAGTAATATCTACACTCTTTGTGATATTTGATCTGTCTGATAATTATTGTTCTAATGAATGTTTACTTTAATATAATTTATGCACAAATCAAGCTAGTTTCAGCTCAAATATGTCAGTATTATAAATATAATTATTTTGATACCAAAGTGCACAATTGAGGGTCATGATAGGTAAGAGGCGGGCCAAGTGTCGGGTTTCTTTCACAACAAAAGTCTTGTACGCAGATATACTTTTTGCCAGGATGATATTGGAAGACACGTGTGAATGGAAATATTTGGTAGAAGAGAATAAATTATAATAATTTTTATGTATACGCCTAAAATGTATATCATTTATACATAAAACAATGTCAATAACATAATTCCAACTTCCAACTTGTGGTTCTATCCACATCATTTGTGTTGAACAATGCGGTTGTGCAGGACTATTCCTAATAGGGAGGTTAAGATCGACTTCCGCTACGAGTACCGATACCAATAATCAGTCACGCGCATACGCAGACGTAACAATCGTCCAAAATGTGACAACACTTGAAGTCGCGAGTACGGTTTTAGGACTGAAAATGGAAGTGTATAGGTAGGCGAAGTACCGAATTATATTTACTGTATTATTGTCATTTTCTGCAGTAGTTTTCTAATAATATTATTTAGGTTTTAGTTGTATAATGTTTCTGCATTGTTTGGTGAGACTTAGGGATTGTGATTAGAGTTTTTGATGTGAATATAGCCGCTATACTCCGCCATGTTTATTTACTTCTTACGAAAGTCACAATCTTAACGCTTTAAAATTTCCGCGCTGCTAAACTGTAATACGTCATGTATTTTCTTATCGGTACTGGTATAGTTGAAGTAGATCTTAACCTCCCTAATTTCAATAGTAGAACTGTACTAGCTATGTCTTTGAAGTACGGAAAAAATGTGTATAATATAAACCAGTTAAAACGCTGGTGGTGTCATTTGCTGTCAACACACGTTCCAATTAACACATATGTCTGACGGTGGAGACAGTTATGAGGAGATAATATTGTTTGATTTGTTCACCTGAGAATTAGGTCTCTCCATTCACTACATAAGCAATCATAAGAAGCTGTCTCTCAAATGATCATTTTGACACTTGATAAATTGCTTGAAGTTCTGATGAAATAATTATGCAAGCATCTGATCTAGCAAGCGAGTTGGCCTCCTATGGTGATGTGTCGGTAGCCATGTTCTGTATAAATATTGATAATATCTAACGACCAACATGGTGAAATCAGCTGACAGCATAGCTTCTCGAAGGTTTGTTTCAACTATACATTGTTCGCTACTGGAACTTTGAAAGTGAGACAACGTATTGATCTTATATGGCAAAAAAAATACAGTTGTATGGATAATTGATAATCATGTTTCAGAGTTTACGAGTCTAACAGCACGAACATAAATAGCTATAAAAGATTGGAAATTCAAAGTATCTGCTTATGGGAAACATATAACTACAGTTACAACTTACAACTGAACACATTACCGGGTTTAAAGCTGAAGCCGATAGTCGATAAAAATTTTTATCGCAAAATCAAATGGTTGGTTCATGATTATTAAAATAGCGAAGTTATGCTCTTGCTCAAAGTTCGTTTTTTTACTCTTGATGTATTTGCTTTAAAAGGACTTAGCTATTTGGGTTAAAATACCACAAGGGATATATAATATTCAGAAAAATTCCAGTTAAGCTAGCAACTGAAGGAAGTGAGTGAAAACAATACCTGGAAATATACTGAATCGATAGAGGTCACGACAGGAAATTGCGTCATGCACAAGTGTAGGTATAGATATTATATAGTGAGGCCTGATCAACAGAGTTCCTCATTTTGTACTGGCGTGTATTGATAGAAAGAATATTTGACAAAATCTGAAGTTATAAAAGGGTAAGTTTTTACATTGTACAAATAACTTTAAACAGTTCCTTCTAGAGTCTTCTGGAGAATATCTCTGCAAAGTCAAAGTTCTATGAACTACTTTTATATTGGCTTAACTATATTTGTGCCGCCCCAAATTGTCCCTCTTATATAAGCCTTAGAAGTTTACTGGTAGGATGAGGTAAAAAATAAGTTTAGATCTGTTTCACTAAAACTTTGGGTTGCATGGTTTCATAATTTGATATGTCAGTGTAATAGCGTCAAGAGACATGCATGCATGCATAGGGCAGATTTATCCATAGACCGCGGGTTAAGACGCCTAGCTGCCTCGGCGTTAACTCCGGCGCGTGTGCCAGTCTTTTCAAGTTATAAAGCTTCTGAACATGCGTGCATAAACACTATAGTTCATATCAATTTAGAAGTGTGGCGAACCCAAATGTTGTTCGAGATTCAGACAACACATCGTACTTTAAAAACTATAGAAGTTCAAGAGTGTGTAATGTGTTTACGAATATACTGAGCTAAATTGTTCACACTGGTTGTCGTCAGTGATCCTAGACTCTTTATGATGTTCCGTCTGAAAATTGTTGTTGCAATGTATGTTTACTTTAATATAATTTCTCCAGAAATCAAGCTAGTTTCAGCTCAAATATGCCAGTATAACCATTACTTCTGTTGACCTGTATAATCCAATTCAGATTGAACCGTTTGAACGAACATAGCTATTATTTTATTGCATGATTAAATAACATATAAACTTATAAATGTCGGACTGATCGTTTTATGAACAGCTTCATACAATTAAAATTAATTTTGTATGCATGTACTTCTAGTATATTCCTCTTATTCCCGACTGATTTCTTTGGAAACCTATTGTACTTAAGCCATTTTATAATATAACATAACATATTAAATTTTATATGAATCGAGTTCAAATGGGCATGAAATTGCTCTATGGCACACTTACGTATGCAAGAGCCTGAATCATAAACATACCCTATTCCACCAACATAGTGGGACAGGTGGTATAAAAACCAAATGTGGTAAACACAAGCAGGTTTAGATATGGAGATACTACATCGAACGACTCTTCTACGCCGGTCAGCCGGTGCTATATAGAACAGTGTCAAAAGTCTGAAGAAATAAAAGGTATTGTTTATAAGTTCAAATGCCCGGACTGCATGTGCATTTAAATATGTTGTGGAGAGCAAAGGATCAAGAAAATCCCGTCGGACAGAACACAAAACCAGGTGTTATACCGAAAATCCAATCTGTAAGTAAAGATCATGCAGAAAGCACACGGGGCATAATATGATGAAAGATAACGTAAGAATTTTAGAGAAAAGAATACACAACTTATCAGAGCGAACAATTCTTGAGGGTGTCTTAAAAAGGCAATACTAATTTTAACATTCAAATATATTCACTTTGTGACTTGTGAGCTACGGACCACTAGCGCATAGCCATACTGAGCGAGGCAGATTAACATGCACTTAAATAACTTTTCCACTTCAGCTTTTGGTGACTGAAGAATCTTACTTGCATTGGCTACATTGTTTATTCAGTACAAACATGAATTGTTTGAAGATTGGTGTCTTTGCTTGTATACTGATTCAGGTTTTGTTAAATGAGGCTGAAGGTGGATGTGAAGTAAGTAAACCGCCGCGAGTTTGTTGGCTTTCATAATACTCAATTTCATGCAATATGGCAAAGCCATCGGTCCCGTGATGAAATTTGTTTCTCATATTTCTATCAACGAAGTTGCATATAATTATGCATCTCATGCATGGCCATATGAACTTTCAATGAACCATTTTGTATATTTGCTAAATAATAATTATTATAATATAATCAGTGATTCATATGTAATTATTTGAGTCTTTGTGCGTGTACAGCTGTAGTTGCCAGCAACTTGTACTGCAGTATTTAGAACAAAAATATTAAGTGCAAGAGCGGTTGCATATAGAAAGGTATATTTATGACTTTTTACAATAGTTATTGGGAGAATTGGCCAGTCAGAAGTCATGTATTTTGGATTAACTACGATTTAACTACTCAAAATCTAGTTTTGCACAACAGGCCGCAGGTGCATGCATGAGATTTTTATTGCAGCTCATGCAAATGAAATGACGGCAAAGTAAATTATTTTTTAAAGTAATGATAAGTTAACAGGGCAGACGTTAGAATAGAGTCTTACTTCGGGTGAAAGAAATTCATATAATATGGTTCCGTTTATAAGCTACATATAACCACATGTAAAACAATGGATCGTACAAAAGCAAAGAACTTTTCCAAGTATGCATGGCATTGTTTTTAACTAAAAGAGATGTAACAAATTTGTAGACACCGAAAACGAGAGATGATTTCCAAAAAAATTTCCGTATACAAAATGAAAGCGCAGCTCTGTTGAAATCAGGCTCAAAATGAATATTATATGAAAGTTTAATATAACTATTTGTCTCTCGATTTTGTATTCACAGAGATTTTTGCAGATCATTCAATTCTTACATTGATATATACATCTGTGTCTATATCTGTGTCTCTATTGTATTTGCAGATACTTCAATCCTTAGTCGAAAAATGTTCAGCAAATCAAGAAAGAACATACCGAGTTGCTCTGCAGTTTTGCGATGGCAAGTACTGGATTTCTAAGAAACCAAATGACACAGCTCAAACAGGTATTTCTTGCATATGTCATATAGGCCTAACGCAGCCTTCCAATTTTTCCCGCTACTCACTATTTTAATAATTTCTGACATGCAATTAAGGCTACAGATTATGAAAAATTAAGACTATAAAAATAATTTCCACCAATTGTTTTTCAAGGTACGAGTTGTGTTGATATAAAAAAGAAAGGGTTGAGTCGCGGAGATGGAGAATATTTGATTGACCCGGACGGAGATGGCGCTGGTAAACCATTTCAAGTATACTGTGATATGACCTCGTTTGGTGGAGGATGGACAATGTGTTACACGACAGACAGTCATGTTAATATCAAAACTGAACTTGTCACCACACCTTCTCTTGGCTATCGTGCAGATTGTAATAACATACCGGTAAATTGACTTTTCTCGAGTAAATCGGTCGAATTGTATATAATGCATGTTGAAATTGTCCTAGGACATACCTTTAAAGTAAAATGTGGACAAATGAGGAGTGTTTATACATTATTGCTCCAATAGCAATTTTTCGAAGTTCAAATACCTCCTATTTGGCGGTAACAAAAACATTATTAGCGGGCTAATAATTCTGGTTGCTTATTGGTCGAAAGGATTACAGTTTTTTCATTAATCGAACATCACTCGTACAATCACGAATTGTACTCGCCATCGCATGGTTACCAATAGCTATACTAGTAGCACAACTTCTGTTTGGATAATGTTTACACTTCTGCATACAATTCGTCAATTCCTCTGCATTTTACTGCCAAACGTAATATTCTTTGCGCAGAAATTTTGTTTTTAAAATTCATCCTCGCGCACACTTGCGCACGTGATACTGTTCTGCGGTCTGCGGGAGTATAACAAATATGAAAATTTCATATCAAATTTATAGGTAATATAATTATATAAATTTAAATGGTAATTAATTTTATTAATTCAAATATAGTTAATGTAAAGCAATTTCTTTCTGTTTTCAGTTCACTGAAGTGATATTTGTTGATGAAAAATCCAAACAAAAAGCAGCCTTTAAAAAAAGTGGTTCACCTGTGACATTCAATGGAAATTACAATAAGCAGGCAAATGCTTATGGCTTGTGGACGGCGCAAGGTGTGGCCACAACGCAGTACAAATACCAAATGTTGATATGTGACTCAGCGTTCTACAAGGGGCTGCACTTCTCCGGGTTCACCAAAAACTGCTACAAACGGTGCAATTACTGGTGTGGTGACAATACCCCTGTCTACTTCCGCACCAGTTGTTTCTCAAGCCAAGGTTGCAACGGTGCTGCATTCAACGAGAATGGTCACAAACCGTTGCCAAATCGCCTCATCAGTGCAGGAATTCGTTAACATGAAAATTCGACGGACTATTTGAAACCGAATTAAATTTGAATTTAATAAGTTAATTACGTGATGTAATTTGTAGTGTAAATTTGTGAACTGAGTTATTTGAATAACCTCGATCGGTTGACTTGTTTTGTGTTTTGAACATTTTTTGTACTTTTGTCTTTGTATTAAATGCGGTATAGTAACTGACCGTTTTTCTCGAAGAACATCACGTGAAAACAATTTTGTTTTACAATAGTTGTGCACAGCGCTTGGGATAACTAGAGACCTTATTAGATTGGCGGTTACTTTAAACGCCAAACTGCTAACGAATTGTTGTGTTTTAACTATAATTATACACTAAAGTCTGCAATGATTTTCAAGTTAAACGTTTTTCATGAACCTCGTGATATCCATGCATTCACCTCGTGATATCCATGCATTTATCTCGTGATATCTATGCATTTATGTCGTGATATCCATGCATTTATCTCGTGATATCTATGTATTTATGTCGTGATATCCATGCATTTACCTCGTGATATTCATGCATTTATCTCGTGGTATCAATGCAGTTATCCGCGTTTTGAGCTGTTTCACAACAACTAATCTTGCATGATCAGTCCATAGACTACACGAAATGGCGAATAGTTTATTTAAGATAGAAATGCACTAAAACATTTAAAATTTGTTAACAATTAAGACATCGTTACTCTGATGAAATTGAGACATATGCATGTCATTTATTTACTTTTAAATAACTGAAATCTTGTTGCCTTCGACGACAATTTTTAGTGCATTTTTAATTTAAATAATGAAAATAAAAATTTATCTTATGCGATTTCTTTTCTTTAAAGACCGTTCTCCACTAGGCAAATTAATTTTATTCGCGGGAAGTGAAGCGAAATACTTAAATTTGGTGAGGGCAATGATCTGATTGGTAGCCTGGTAGGCGAAGCAATTCCTCGCTAGAAAGTGTGATCGCTTCCTACTCTTTATGAAAGTCAGTTCACTCTAATATATTGTATATTTATAAATTCACCCAGTAAAAATGGGCTTCACGAAAAGGGATCACGTACATCATCTCACCCACTCATCGCAAAAACCAATTCGCAGGCTCACTGCGAGTAATTTCGTCCAATCACAATGCTTGACAGTTTATTTCGTATTAGAAGCAAACACTCGCTGCAGCGAGCTTGCGAGTCAGTTGATTTTGCGATTAGAGGAGAAGAGTCTTTGATGAGAGAAAAAGACGCTTTTTGATTCTATAAGTTTTAGTATATATACGTAAAACTCAGGTAACACTGGTTTATAGCATTAGTTATAGCCCTATGTGCAGATGGTACGTATTCTACCCTTGTGAAGTGTACTACGTACAAGCAGAGTATTCAAATTGCAAAACAGAAAATTCATTTTTATGACCCGGTTCCGAATTAAACAAAAGAAATACGCGCGCAAACACAAAACATTAATTCGCTCTACCTTAATGCATAATATTATATTGTGAAACGATATAAGTGTGTCACATTTCGTCGAGAGCTACTTTTTTTTATCCACCTACTGTGTAATTATACATAACGAAGAAACAAACGAGTATTTTGTGATCGATATTTTTCCGGCCTAAGTTGATATTTTTCCCAATTACATGATCAAATAATTTTATAGTAAGTCTTTATTTCATTGTCGGTTTTCCAGATTTGTGCGCTTTGGAGGCTAAACTCTATCACAATGGCTCTTTGTTTTCTTTGTTTTCTTTGTTTTGGCCTTTTGTTTTCTTTGTTTTCTTGTTGTGAAATGAAAAACTATTCAAATTATAACAGAAGTACAACGCCTGGGTCAGTGCACTCGAGCCGTCGAGTGCAGTATATCCAGCTATAGCGCCTTTCCTGCTTTACTACGAGCCGTTCGTCATTAAAATTGAAGTAAATAGGAAGTAAATAAAATTGAATGTAAATATGAAGTTCCGTAAAGCGTGAAAGAATTTAGTCCTCAAGGTATACAGGGTGTCTCAAAAAACGAAAACTATTGAAATTCTTGTTAAAATTCACTCATTGTTAAAATTTGAACGAATTTCAGCCTGTGGGGATGTAATGCAACTTATTAAAGGGTAAATAAGAAAAATTTTGAATATGATTAAATTTAAATTAGCCTTGTTATTGCTTCGAAAGAAAATGGTACAGCTGACCACTGAACAACGAGTGTTTATTGCGATAAATTATACGCGTACCCAAAGTACAACGGAAGTGCGAAACGCTTTTCGACAAAGGTCGACAAATGACTAATTGTAAATATTGTTAATAAATATTTTTGCGTACAAACAAATTTTACTACATAATGCATAAAAATGCTAAATAAATGGGTCCCAACAGAGTGCTTTGGCATTCAAACACTAACAATTACATTGTTATGGATGATTTCAATAGTTTTCGTTTTTTTTGAGACACCCTGTATATATATATATATATATATATATATATATATATATATATATATATATATATATATACACCCGTTGGCAAAAACGTTGGCCGCAGATAGATATATAGATAGATACCCGAAATCTAATTAGAATTGCATATGTTGTGTAATATGATTGAAATCCCATGCAAATGTATTCATATGCAATTCTAATTAGACTTCGAGTATCTATCTATCTATCTATCTGCGGCCAACGTTTTTGCAAATGGGGTGTGTATATATATATATATATATATTATATATATTATATATATATATAATATATATAATATATATATATATATATATATATAATATATTATATTATATACACACCCATTTGCAAAAATGTTGGCCGCAGATAGATAGATAGATAGATACTCGAAGTCTAATTAGAATTGCATATGAATACATTTGCATATATATATATATATATATATATATATATATATATATATACACCCATTTGCAAAAATACATATATGAATACATTTGCATGGGCTTTCTATAATATTACACAACATATGCAATTCTAATTAGATTTCGGGTATCTATCTATCTATCTATCTGCGGCCAACGTTTTTGCAAACGGGTGTATATATATATATATATATATATATATATATATATATATATATATATATTATATATATAATATATAATTAATTCTAAAAAAGATAGATCACCAATAAAATTTAAAGCAAAGCTAATGCACTTGCGACTAAGATTCAGCGCGAATCATTCGTCTTGGCGTTTTAAGAAAGCTTATACCACAATAATTAAACGCGAAATTAACACGCGAGCTCGCTAGACCAGCATCGTACCCCGGCGCTTTAGGTTTGGGAAACAAATGTTATACTGATATAGTGTGCTTAGATATGAAAATACATGAAATTATATTGTGTATTCTCCCATCTTATCAAACGCACGATTGACCGCATAATTATGTAATAGACTGTTCAAGAACATTGTGGGCATGCATGCCATTATACACAAATCTCTGTTAGACACCAATTGGTATGGAAGCTAGGTACCGTGCTAAGTTCCTCTTCCTCACGCAGAAGTTTTATTCTTCTATCGTTGTCTTTCAATTTACTTTCACTTGCGTTTTACATCATTACAATACGTCTTTCTTGAGGTTTCTGTTCATTGATTAAGTACTAATCATTACCAAGCTGTTTCATGCACCATTAAATTGTACAACATACCAATATAATTCCCCAAAAATTGGGATTTTGTCTGATCCGGAGATTCGTGGTAGTAATTTTTTATAACATGGCCGGTCGCCGAAAACAATGCTTGATATACAAACACTGTCGGTCTGGGACACAACATTTGCGTTCAAACATGCATAGCCCACAGGTGTATAGGTTTAAAATGTAATTAATTGTACGTATGTCGTAGATTTAAGGTATAAGTAAAGCGTATAAGTTTTTAGAGAGGGGTGTTTTTTGGTACATTTCCATGAGCATACAAACATCGGTAATTCAGAGGGGCTGTATTGTGTCTTTTAGGGTCATAAGGCAGACACTTATTTGACAAACAATTTCATACCATCCATATCAGTGGTACAAATGAATTTTATTCTCTTCATGTGGAGTTTAATTATCACAATTTATTTGAACTGGTTTGTGAAAGAAAAGAAATACGCACAAACACAAAACATCAGTTTATTGGCTCTACCTTCATTTATAGTGAAATGGTATAAGTGTGCAACATTTCGTCGAGGGCTACTTTTTTTGTCCAACCCCTGTATAATTATGCACAACGAAAAAACAAACAAGTGAAAGAGTATTTGTGGGCGATATTTTTCCGGTCTAGGTTGACTATTTGTTCCCAATTTCATGACCAAATATAATAAATCTTTGTTTAATGCAGGGTTGCCAGATTTGTGAACTTCGGAGGCCACTCCAAACTCTGTCACAATGGCTCTTTGTTTTCTGCGTTTTAGCCTTTTATTTTCTTTGTTTTCTTGATGTAATATGAAAAACTATTCAAATTATTATATTGACGGAATTTACAAGGCAGAAGTACGACGCCTGGGTCAGTTTAAAGAGTTTTCAGCCGTCGAATGCAGAATAACTAGCTCTAGCGCCTTTCCTGCTCTACTACGTGCTGTTCGAAATTAAAATTGAAGTAAACAGGAAGAGCGATATTACGAGGTTCCGTAAAGCGTAAAAGAGTTTAGTTCTCAATATATTTATATTTAGCAATATATACATCAAACTGTATTCAAGGGGTTTGTAAATGACAAATAATTAAATTACTACACATTAGACTGCAGAGCGGATTAATAGAAAATTGTACATATATATTTACTTTAGCATGCCCATGCATATTATGAGTTACTCGGTTTCGGGAAACCGAAATGAAACCTTTATCTCATATTCGGACACCCCGTGGATCATAAAGAAATTTCGCAAGGTGTCAGTTTAGCTCCTCCCATTTACGTCAGATGTGATAGACACAGTTCGAAATCATGATTAATTGTTTTATAAGCTGAACTAAGTATACGCAATTTTCACCATAAGTTTGAAGGAAATAGTTTTTTCTATTTTCTTTTCATA